CTCATATGTTATTCCATTGACAAACCACATCAGACCTTCATCCTCACCTATACGCAACTGTTATCATTGAACACAACTAGGCGTGGCATCAAGTCTGGGTTTCTTATCATCTAGTCGTCTCTGAAATGGAGCAAGCTGCCCTTCCCAGGTTCTTTGAGTTGTTCACTCTCTCACCAACCGAGATACAACTCGAGATTCTTTCCCACTGCTCCGTCGCCGACCTCGTTTGTGTCTCGTTAGCATCGCATTCCTTGCGCGCTCTAGTTCATCCTCACATACCTACCAAGCCCTCCTTGCTGATGGTGGAACAACTTGGTTCCTCTCCGTGCTGGGACTGTGAACAGAAGGCAAACAAAGAAGAACCCTTGGTGCAACAACAGAACCCAGCTCGCCCCTGTCCATGCACCAACCACAAAGGTGTCAGGTACGATCCGAGAATGCACCGTAGAAAGATCCACGACTTCATGGATCCTCCTAGAGATGGATATTGGAACTATCCTTCTCGGAGATATGCATCCGACCATGCCGCATGCCAGGTTCCCCGGTGCAAGAAGCACTGCGCCTGCATATCATGCCCTTTGTTCACGAGGCTACGCGGCTGGATGGGAGACGGCCTCCGATATTGCAGTCAATGTGAGAAGTTTACACGGCGATTGAAGAAATACAAGGGAAGATGTGAGTATAAGCCAGACTACCTCGTATTTCGAATTTGAAGCTTACAACGGGAACAGGCATGCATGGTAAAGCCAAAGTCCGGAAAGCGCCCAACAATCACTGGACCAGGACCAGTGGTCTTTCTTGGGGACGCCGGTGGTGGAAAAGATGGGGAACTGACGGAATTAATTATGCGACTTATCATGGAATAGGCCCGGAGAGAGCCAATGCGCGAATTGTGTAATATCTTTGCGCCAGCATGTCATGTATTAATGAGAGACGATAGAACAGGTTATTTTGCTTTTGAGGCCAATTTAAGCATATTCTTCATGTGTGGTCGTGCGAACACATCGTATGACCATCTACAGGCGCATTCTTGACCGAAATTCATCAGACCTGAGTGGTTTGAGCCACGGCAGCTTCTTCAATAGCAATTTCTAGTGTAGAGGACACCAGCCCAGAAACCTCAGCACACTCGCCTCTACCCCAGGCTCGCTGAATCTTTCCAGCAGCAGTAGCATCCCCCGAGGTGTCAATCGTAATACCAATTGTGTGCTCCGAGGTCCGGCCATTTCCACACAGCTGCATGGTAGTTCCGTGGACCATGCCGAGGCTGCTGATTTTCTCCCTCAGTTGGCTGAAAATCGGCTTGACCGATGACCTGGCAACACTTTTCCCGATAAATGAAGCGACGGTTAGGTCAAGTACTTCGATACTGACCATATCCTTCAAGCAGTTGTCGGAATCCTCAAGGAACGATTCCAGACCTTGGAGAGCGTCTTGGAGGAGTTCATGGGTTGAGTTGGCGCCGCTGGCGTGGAATTCGAATGAAGCCGGCTTCTGATCTCCGGATGGGCATGCCTCCTGCCTGGATTCAAGCTGAACGGCATTCCGAGATGTCAGATCGTAGACAGTTATCTTCGGATATTGCGCTGGGTAGGAGTGGACCACAGCCGCAAGAGTAAGCAAGGCTGTGATTAAAAAAAAGTGAATCATTGTGATCGACAAGTGAACGAGCGACTTGAAAGAATGAATGTGGTAGGTACAGTGACCAGAGATGAAAAGAAATCAATGTATGGGCGAGAAACGCATGAGCAATCGAAGGAGGATGGGTAGCCAACATAAAATGTAGACTACTAAGAGTTAAATATGCATGCCTAAGGGGCCATTAACACAAGTTCCCATAGAGCCAACTGGTTCTATGTGCCGTGCATGATTTGAAACCGCCTCATTCAGCTCCGGTGGCCGACGATAGCCTATTGTGGTTCACCAACAGATTTTAATTTCCCAAACCATGCGTCATCTAGCCCCTTCTTGGTGATATGCAGCGGGCACGCATGGCCGAGCGATGAATATGTGTCAAACTTGCAACTCAGACGATAAGTGGCTGATCACGGTAATTAATTTAAGGGGGAAAAATGAAAGACGATCCCAGAGATATAGCAGAATTCTGCAAGACTCAAGAAGTGATTTGTATCGAAATGTTCGAGCTCTCCGGGGGGGTGGACAACGTGGGTAGGGAAAGCGGCTACTTTAAGCACCCATCTCCAACAAGCAAATCTCCTATAGCGATCGACACCTCATCAACCAATTCTGGTTGATGTCATGCGACATTCCCATCTCATCACAATTATGTTCCAATATTAGAAGTACACATCCATAAAAGAACAACCAACCATCAATCTGTCCCGGCCCGAAGTTCAAGCCTAATCTACGGCAGCCGAGGCCACCGCCGGTGGCTCGTTGCTTTCAATTTCAGATAACAGCCTCAACTTAGCTCATGAATAACCTCTGGCCGAGGGACAAACTTAAGATTAGGCCCGTTATGAGTTGCGGCAAAAGTATCCTCCACCTGGAACTGACTTGCTCTTCCTCTGATACCTGGTAGCCCGGGAACACCGCCACCCAAATCACTGGCCTTTTCGAAGTCGAAATACCACAGAGTCTTGGCCAACACAAGGCTACATTCGAGATACCCCATTGGCTTCCCAGCACAACCCCTTGAGCCGGTTGAGAAGGCCGCAAAGCCACGGTCCATGGCCTTGCGAGCTTCCTCATCCTTGGCCTCTAGCCATCTCTCAGGGCGGAACTCGAATGGCTTGGGGAAGATCTCCTCGTTGTGGTGAAGGCTAAAGATATTGACGCCAAACTGCGTTCCCTTGGGAATGACGTGTCCGTCCACGATGAACGGTTCCGTTCCGTCGTCGCCGCTGACAAGTTCGCGCCACAAAACACCTGGGACAGAGGGGCACATTCGCAGACTCTCGTCGATAACGGCACGGAGATACCGGCAACTTGCTAGCTGGGGACCTTGACGGATCTCGGACCCTGATGTAAAGGAGGATCGTATCTCTTCACTAAGCTTGTCATAGCTTTCTCGGTTACGAGACAAGTAGAAAAATGCGGCTGAAATCGCGGTAGCCGTTGTCTCGCCGCCTACCCAAGAATCAAAGGAAGGTCAGTGCAAGAAGCCATTCAAGAATATCAAGATTCACATACCTGCCGGGAAGAAGAAAAGAGCTTCGGTCCATAGTTCTTGCTGCCGCAGAGATTTAAACTCATTGCCCATAGAACCAGCGATGACACCTAATAGATCGTGCTTGGAATCAATCTTTTGAGACAAGCGTGCCTTGATCATGGTGTCAAGGAGGTTAAAAAGGCGAGCGCGAATACTGTTGGGCATCAGGCCACTGATCACTTCTGGTCGGATCCAAGTCAGAAGTGGCCACTGCATGCAAACGTTGATGCGCCAATCACCCAAGTAGAATGCGTTCATCAACCAGTGATTGGTCTCTTCCGTCTGCATTTTGAGATCATAACCGAATCCAAGATGCCCCACGATGTCTATCCCCAACTGGCGCACGGTGGGAGTTATATTGACTGGCGCCGAGGAAGCAGACGCCTTCATTAGCTTCAGTAGCAAGACATCAATCTGCTGGAGCATGACGGGCTCAAAGCTGCGCATGCTCTTCTCGCTGACAACTTGACCGATGAGTCTTCGCTTGGCGCGATGCATACCGCGGTCTCTGACATTGAAGATGTTGAATTGATCTGCGTGCTGCTGGGCAGCTCGATATACATGTGACTTGGTAACTCTCTCACTGTTGTAGATTGCTACCCATTCATATCAGTATAATTAGAACACAATCATATTCACCTTGTCAGAAAAGATGGCAAAAATCCACAGGAGGGGATGAATACTTTGAAATGCACTTTCCGTGTTGAATATCAGACGGTCAGGGCCATAGCGAACGACGTGTCCTATTTCAATGCTGATGAGTACACAAGAATCTATTGATCCAGCGCGAGGGCCACAAACAGACCGTATTTCATATGATCCTCATATACTTTGAGATGAATATCTTTTCGCAGAGCATAAAACCCACCGAAACCGTCGGTGAGCTTAGCAATCAATGGGCCAGGAAACTTGGTCAGTGGATGCAAGGTAAAGCGGTATCCCAACAAGCACAGAATCTGAAGCACGCATCATCAGCTATTAATAACCTGTAGTTTCCATAAAAGTTTCATACGTAAACTGTAAATGCCAAAGTGGCCGCTAGGATGAATTGCTCCATGACCGAGATATGATGCCGAAGGAACGTGATGTTGTCGCCGACTGAGTTGCCAGAGCAGATGATGTGGCCTGGACAGGTTCTTACGAATGGGAGATGTTGCATTAGTTCGCCCCCTGGAGGCTGGAACCGCTGGGAGGAGAAGGTGAGATGAATTATTGGCTATCGTTCATGCATCTCAGACAACACGTTGCAACGGAACAGGGGAAAGGAATTTTGCCACGACGACCTGGCCCTGAATAAGCACTAAAATCCCTGTTCAAAGCACATTCTCGCCTCTTCCAAGCCAACAGCATGTAGCACAGAAGGCAGAAAGGGGCATATCTACTCACGCTTTTCAAATCAAAGCTTATATTTCACTGTGTGCTTCCTCAAGTGTCTCGCTGTGTGTGATGGAGTGATCGAGGCAGCGATATGCCTTATGCGAGAAGGGCAGGATGTGGGATACAGGGGGACCAAAAGTTCACAAAGGAAGTCGCGCCGAGAGAGATCATGCCGGACATAAGCCATTGTTATTAAAGTTAAACCTTATGTACTGCCGGGCGGGAGCCGGCAAAAGGCTAAAGTGTAATGTATCTTGATGCCGGATATAGTGTCAACTTGTTAATTTCTTGGAATTCAGTATCTACCTTCTGTTAAGCAGCTAAGGCATTAATTACATGGCCCTCTTATTAATTGACTATTTAAATGACAAAATTTCTTGAAGAGATAGAACAGAGTGCAATAGTAGTTGGGTTTCAAAAGGCTGGGCAGCTAACCTAGCTAACAACCTCTCTAAATATTTGTAGTGCTCGAGAACTTGCCTCGGGTTTCCTCGATCCTTGAGACGGCCTCATCAACCAGATTGTGTAAGTCTGCTTCCAAAACCTCCTTTCCTACTCTCTTGTACTCTTCCGTGAATATACTCCAGAGTTCCTGATCTTTTTCATCCAGCGTTCCAGGGCGGGGATAATAAGGGTCATTTCGCCAGAACGCTCTCGCAATTGCCATTAACCCATCAGTATCTACAGTGGTTGGCTTGCAGCAATCGAAATCCAAGACCCATAGGGCGCTGTCACCAAGGGTATCGGCTGTCGTATGTCGAGGTGCCCCCAGAACGAATTCAATGTCTGCGCCATCTACTCTCAGCTTCCAGTGGATGGTGGCAAGTGCGCCGCCCATAGCCTTGGCCCAAACGTCGCAAGGAAGACCTAGCTCCTCCACCTGGTCCATGTGCAGGGGGAAATTTCTGAGGCTGAAGAACCTGGAAATGTGTCGCTTTTTATCGCTGCTTACGACACGTCGTCTGCCAAGGTAGATTCGGACAAGGCAGTGCTCATTCTCGGGGCTGCTGAGTATTTGCGCCGGGAGCAGGCCTTGTGGACAGTATCTTTCGGCCAATACTCGGCGGCATGCGTCAGATACTGGCCTGATGAGTTCGCTTATCATCGCATTGCAAGGCTCGAAGCCTTCAGGTAAATGAGCCAAGATTTGGCTCCAATTGCCACTCTTCTCGATGAAAGCGAGGGGAGAGGGTACAAGAACTGATCCCAGTCCTTGGTAGACTTGTGATTGGATCGTAAATTCGTTTCTAAGAGAACGCCCAGGACTGCCATCCTCTCTCTTCAAAGCAATCGGAAGCCCTGGATACTTGTTGGAGGTGAGTGTAGCCCAGACAGACCCGCAGTGGCCAGCTCCGATGCGTCGAAGGGGCTTGATTGCCTCAACTGGAAGAGAATCCATGATTGATTGGATGTTTAATGATAGGATGTTTTATATTTAGGGACTTGAAAGTCTGTTTGTTGTGACTGATTCAGTGGTCAAGATGTGAAATAATGTGGAGTAATAGAGAGAGAGAAAATCCAGAGACGGTGCGGGTTGGTCGAGAGTTGTTATAGCAATCCCGCCTCATAAGGTTCTGGGCGGAAATTTTCAGAGGAGAGACATGGAGCAAACTTACTTCGGTTTTCACTTTTGCTGTGACTCACCCGCCACTGCTCTTTACGTTGGAGGCTTCCATCGCACTTACCGTTTATTCGTGTAATGGCCGCGCCGAAAGGCAGGAGCAAAGCCCGTGGCCAGAGCAGTAAATCCTGGAGAGTCACGTACAGAAATTCCATCCTCATTCTTTTTTTCCTCATTCCCGCCGTTCTCCTTCGAACTGCAGTCGCGACTTGCCCTCGAGTAATCACGGTTGGGAACCTCTCGGACAACTCGAAAAGGCCCTCTTCCTCATCGAATTTCAGAACGAATGGCGAGTGGAAATGGAACATCTCACTTAGCAGATGCCTAAAGAAAATTTGTAATTAAATATCCGAAAAACTGAACAGGTCTAGAGTACTTTGATAGACGATATCGTCCCTATTGCAATCAAGTAACATGTCCCACTGACAAAATACGGCGTCCCAAGTGCCAGCCCCCCTGTAGTTATACCGTGAACCCACAAAGCAGCCATCAAAGGCGCCCCGAGAAGCGACCCAACAGTCTTGACCAACATGACGATGGAGAATATGTGACTGTCAACATTCGAATCGTCGTCATCAGATTTCCGAGGAGAGATGGAGGGTGATTTCAGCAGCGAGAGCGTGAAGATTGGCAGGGCCGACCCAACAGCATACACAAAAAGCGACGGGACCAGGATCCATATCTCCGCAGCGACAGCGATCCCCATTGCGCCCAGGACAGAGACCACGAGGCACAGATTGGCAAATTTGACATTCGCGCGGTCGATGCTCCCGGAACCTGCAAAGCGCGGAGATCTGAGAACGCGTGGCACAATAACGCTGAGAAGGAGGAAGTTGACGACGGCTTTCCCGGAGAGCAGGTAGCCCGCCGAGGCGAAGGTCCAATGGTACCTCCCAGAGATGTACTGGACGAGGAGTTTTGTATCGGAGCTCGCCAGCGAAGTGAGGAAGAAGCTGAAGAGCAAGAGGGAGAAGTTCCGGGGGTGGCCGGTGATGATGTCCAGAAGCACACGGAGATGGGCCACGACGGAGTGGAGAATAGAGTCACGCTGGGAGTCCTGGGCTTTGAGAGCCGGCGAGGACAGCAGGCCCTGTCGCTGCTCCTCCGTGTCCGGATCAGAGGGGACGTGGCCGGATGAGAATGAAAGACCCAAAATGACGGGGACGGCCACTAGAAGAAGGCCAACGCCCAACATGAAGGGAAGCCAAAGCATGATCGACATGGTTGCAGAGCCCAGGGCAGGGCCAAGAAGGGCTACCACGTATGAGATAGAGCTCATGTACCCAAAGTAAGTGGCGCGACGGACTGGGTCATCGGTGAGATCCGACACGAGTGCGTATGTGATTGAATTGAAGACACAGTCGCCGCCGAGAAAGGAGAGGATAGGGCCAGCTATAATGGCATTGGGTGGGAATATATGATCAAAGTAGCCAACAACGACGGCCCAGGAGATCATGAAAGCCCGGGAGACGAGGTTTAACAACAAGACGATATGACGCCCCCGGCTTTGGGCGACAAAACCAAGAGGAATCGTCATGATGAAATCTGCCTCGAGTTTCAGCTTTGGTTCTTTTGAGGTGAAGGGTGCTCTCGAACTCACCTCCGACAATCCATGTGGTCTCCATTACACCTTGGATCGACCCCAAGCTCTGCTGCACCTCGGGGATCTTGCAGAGACTCTCGTCCACACTGCCGTCCGGCTGCAGCTTAGCAGGGTCAGTACTAGAATAGTAGTCGCGACAGAGCCGCCGCTCGATGACCCGGTTCAGAGGAAGCTGGTACAGGCTCATGGCAAGATTCACAAGCAGCAGGAGCAGGAGCACGGAGCGGATGCCCCTCGCCCGTGGCTGGCCCGGCGAGTGTGAGAAGGACGGCTCGCCATCGTCGTCGGTCGGCACGTTGGCCGCGGAGCCAGGCATCCTCCAGAGAGTCCTCTTTCAGGTCATATACCGCTCTCGGATTTCCCTGTCTTGCGACGATGGAGAGTTTGTAGATCGTCGCGGTGCAGACAGTTGTTGAGCTGATATCAACTGACGTGTACCTGCAACGTGATCTGTTTATCTCGCAGCTCCCCGCGCCTGAGACATCCACTAATCACCCTGTCCATCATCCCCCTAAGCCGCTACGATTTGGCGCTTCCAGTGCTGTAGCACTCCCCTGTAATCGCTGTTCAGTGGGTCAAACGAATGGGCATTGCTAGCCACGGTACATTTAATACATAACATATCGCCTCAATAGAGTCATTCCACCAATGATTGAACAATGAATCTTGTGGCGTTGTATATTGCCTGATATTATTTTGCTTATCGTCATAGCTGTTCCATCTTCTGTTGCTCAATAATGGCAATTACCACGATGCAGCACAAGACTTGTTAGCCTTATCTACTTATCTTATCAGTGATCACACACAATTATGCACGTGACCAGCCTTCCCCTCACATCCGCGTCACCATAAACTTAATGTCACCCGTTTTGCGCAGATGACACTCATCAACGGTACCGTATCATCCGTTCGGTAATTATGGAAACTCAACCGACAGACATCCTTTAGACCGAAGTGATAGATTAAAAGTATAGACAGGAAAAGAAGATAAGCTTCCTTACAGAAAGAGGAAATGAAAGCTTGTTGAATGCTTTGATGTTATTAGCGACGGTTGTGTATAGGGTAGCTGGAAATGGGAAGTTGGACGCAAACATAGACACTCTTGATCACCATCAAATCATCATCCTGAGAATGTTATGTCTAAGGTATGGAAAAGTAGTTGGGCCCAGATAGAATATTAGAATTTTGGCTGTCTCATAAATTCCTTTACGTCGTTATCTACCCAAGAGAAAAAAAAAGAACAACGTGAAATCACAATCATGCCTCCGTATAGTTACCCAAAAAATTCACAAGTTAACAATGCTCGGTTATCTTGGTATAATCCCTGACCTGCTTCTTCGCTTGGCAAGTTTCCCGTGTGTCGGTGCGTCCGTCGCTCCGTCTGCACCGTCGTCGTCCCGCAGCTGTTTCCCAAACTGCAACAAAACAATTCTATCCGCCAGCCCAACACCAATTCCATTTTGTCCCACCCGACATACGGGCCCGGGCGAGACAGCCAGCAGGCCCGTTGTCAGTTCATGAGTATTGATCTCTCCTTGCGCCGTCATGGTCCAGGCTTCCCATCGGTATTGCTTGGTCCCGCCCCCTCCTCCGCCTTGGCTGCTGCGACATTTCACGTCGCGTCGCCACAGCCCTGTCGACTGGGTGTGTCGTTGTGTCTTGACAATCGACGAGGTCATGACCCGCCGCACGCCTGCCACCCCGTTCGCCCCGCTGGCCTCCCATGAGCCAGGCTCGGCCATGGAGTAGGTCGATTCCTCGCCACTTGAGAATCCCATGCAGCGGCGTTCTCGGACGTCACGCTCTGAACGTAGACAGATCAGGCGGCTTCGGTAGTAGTCTGGCCCAAACGTCTGTGGTATGGCGACTGTCTTCATCGTAAATCTCCCACCACATGTCTTCTCAGTGTAGGCAATGGTGAATGAAGCAACGGCGATGGAACCGCAGTATACACATTGCTGGGGAGTGGTGTGGATTGCTCGTAGTGACTGATGGCGGAGGGGTTGAGTTTTGAATGTATATATGACATTTCCTAGGCCAGGTTAGCGAACTGGGATGACAACAGAGGGATAAAAGAGATACACACCTGATAAAATATCCAACAAGAGCAGCTCACTGCTGCCCTCATTGTAAACAGAGGCTACACCTCTTAATGTGGGAATCATGGAGAACTGAAGTGGCTGGATTTGCGTAGCCTTCAGATTATCCAGGGGGGCGACTTGCAAAGGCACAGTCATCCACCTCCGTTCTCGATTCGCCGACATGTATATGGTCTCGTCTGCAGTGACGGTGATGAGCTTGGGGGCAGCGTATCGGTTGATAGATACGAGATGAGTCGACTTTATCGGCTTTTCGCATATCTGCACCGTGTTGCACCCCTTCCCGTTGAGATCAACGTCCATCATACGCCCGCTATCTAGAACGAGTAGAAGGCTAGAGAGCGTCTCTGCTCGGTGGGGCCCAAGCCTTTGGGCGCTGGTGTCTGCCTTGAGAAAAAAGCATTTTATTACTTTCTCGTTTGAGCTCACAGACAGTTCTTGCTCAAACTTTTGGTGTCGACGGTTCCATAGCAGCACCTGGCCCTTTCGAGAACAGATTGCTACCCATTCGGCATGGTCGTCAATGGCTACCAAGGATATGGGCCATGATATCTCATGCTCATCAGTGGAAGCTATCTGTTCGCTGGTCGGTGTTGCCCCTTCCAGATTCCAAAGCCAGATTTGGTGATCGAACCCCACAGACACCATGAATCGGCCAGCGCACGCAGTGAGGAGGTAAATGTCGAGAGTATGCCGTTGATCAAGGCGGCGGGCTAGTGAATTGGATGTCTCCCGTCCAGCAGTTTGCTCATCCTTCTCATCTTCGACTGTCTCTGTCGAGCTGTAATATGTGGTATGAAATCCAATCAAGGTCAATAAGAATGGAGCCAATGGGAGCATGGCCGAGATTGGTGTTGATGATGTCGAGTCGTCAGTCACGGCCAACGTTGCATTCCTTGCATCGGGCTGAGTGAAGACATGAAGAGGGGCGTATGATTTGACAATGAAGCTGGAGGACTGTGTCGTGACACTTTGTAGAAGCTCGCGCAAGGTGTCGGGCTCCTGGGCACGCAACCAACCCAGCAATGAGCCACTTGGTGAGAGGTCGTAGCTGGATGCGTGAGAGTGCCAGTTGAGAGAATTGATTGGAATTCGAGAGGAGATGTTTATATTGGCGAGGAAGGTCAACCACGATCGGATGTCGTAGAAGTGGCAGGCCATGAAGTAGATGAGACCCGCCGTCATCAAAATGTGATTTGTGCTCCAATGTTGCTTCATGTTCCATGTTGGCTTCGGGGGTTGGCTCGTCTCTTGTTGCTCGCTCTTCGTATCATCCAACTCTGGTACTCGGAGGTTCGTGACGAAAGCGGCGATGAAAAAGGTGTAGAATATAAAGAGGTCGAGGGCGAGGGAGAGCATCGCAAATCGGCAAAAGTTCGATAGTCCGGCAGCAGGAGAGATCCATAGCAAGATCATGAGTATTGCTATGGCCTGCAGGGTTCGTACGAGAGGGGCGATACCCATGTCCAACAAGGCAAGAGAGAGCAGCTTCGCCTGATCCGCGTACCTATAATTCTTCTTGACCTTGCTGATGAGATGATTGCTGCGAAATATACTGATTAACACTGTTCTCTGAGATCCTTCCAACTGATACTCACACATTGAACAGGCATTGCGAAAGCACTAGCAGCGGGTAGCACGCCAATGGGACTGTCGAAATTGCGATGCCAATTGAGGAAGAAATGTGTCGGCTTATCAAAGTTACAAGTGAGACCTGTTTCGCGCTTAGTTAGATTCCTTGTGATCGTCATATGGTTGATCTCCACCCAAGATCTTGTTGGGGGGGAAGGGTTTGGAAGAGTGCTCATACCTCAAGAGCAATGGAGCCTAAGAGCCACAGCCCGCTTCGAAGAATTGCTCGCCTTGCCATAACAAGGCCGGCATAGAGGAATCCCAGGGTGTAGAGAGAAAGAATGATGAGTTGATCCTGGCTCGTCGTGAACAGGTAGTGGACCTTGGCGAGGGCGGAGGGTTGCGAGTCTCTGAGAATGTTCCACTGAGGCCTGGTATCCCTCAAAGAGACTGAACCTTCATCCCAGTGAGCTCCGGCAGTCGACCCATCCCTGGTGAGCATGGTAATGACGATGGTGTCGGCGGCGGGCTTGTGGCTCTTGGTCAGGCCAAACTTTTTGAAGACGGAGGCGGGGCGGAGGGTGATATTGGCCGACGACTTGCGATGCAACGCCCGGGACAGGTTGCCGAGAATGTCGGTGTCCGAAACAATGGCCTGGGCAGAGCAGTCCCAGTTGTCTAGAATTGAGTGGACAAACACGGTGGACGAGTCGGCATCATGGTTGACGACCCTGGTAGATGGCGACTGGTCATGGCTGGCGGGGTGTGCGCCGTAATCGGAAACGAGGTAGTTCTGGGCGTCAACAGCATCGACGAGCGTGTCCTTGTCGAGGGCTTGCATCCAGCGACCGCAGACCCAAGCTTGACGGAACTCGACATCGGATTGTCCAGAAACAGCACCCCGGGCGGGGTCGATGGATATCCAGGCGTGTGACGGCGGGTGAAGCAGCGAGGCCTCGGAGTTTACAAAGCCGCAGAGGGAGAATGCGACATAGACCAGGGCATTGAGGATGGCGCCGACGACGATGGGGAGGGGGCGCCTTAGGATGAGGCTGTCGTAGATGCTGGCCGATGTCTTAATCCATTGGTGGCCACTGGGAGGAGGCTGGGATAGCTGCTGCGTCAGGGCTGTGTTAGCGGCTGCTGCCGTGAAGCGACGCGCGCGGGCGGCAGATGCAAATGGAATGGCATGGGCAGTAGAGAGGGACTGGGCAAATGGAGGCGCGAGAGACAGATGAAGAATGGATTGATTGAACGGTGATGGTTGGGATTGACCGTGATGGGTGATCATCGCATGGCCGCCGCTACTGGACCGCGGGATGACGGGGTGCATGGGGACGTGCGCTGGTTCGTCACCCAGAGGGATATACGGGTGGAAGTAGGAGGCAGTACGGATGAGAGAGAGAGGGAGAGACGCAGAGAAATGAAGGAAAGCGAATTACCATGTTGACACCGGCCGTACGACCATACTCTGGTCCCATTTACGTGACGGCGATTCCCTGGCTGCGTGCCTGGACAAGAGGCGGGGGCTGGCAACGACTCCCGCATATGTGCACCGGGATTGCTGGAGAGAGGCGGCGTGGATGGATGGGCGTCTGTGTCTGGAGCCAGCGAACGACCGGAGAGGAGGGGAGGGGAGGATGCAGGAGGGAAAGAGAGAGAGACGCTTCCCAGATGGCAGAGCTGCTAGGTGGGCGTGCGTCGCGTGCGTCACGTCGTCGTTGTGACGTTCCTTGCCGGATGCTGCAGTGCGAGAGTGTGTATGCAGTGGCGAGCAAAGCAAATCGCAAGCAAGGCTTTTCTTTTCGTTCAATGAAACAAAAAGCAATTGCTCCATCCAATCTCCAGCGAAGCCGAGGGCTGAGCAATGCATTAATTATCGACACCCCGGCCCGCGGAAAAAGGATGATCCCAGCCTATCAGCGCCCGACACGCCTTTTTTAGCCGTGCCGGGGGTGCATCTGGCGGCAGCGATGCGACGCAAATGGACATCCTCATGCCCTGTAACGTCGGTCTTAAGTCACGATGTTGGCGACTGGCAGACTGACTGGACGTCTGCCTGTCGTGGACAGTCACAAACCCCCTCTCGCGCGCCGGCGCTGGTACTACGACGCTGGCCCAGACACGACACGGACGGATCGTTGCGAGATCTGCTAAACTAGAGCGAGCTAACGCCTGCCAGACTCACCTCGAGACCCTGAGCGCTTGATTAGCGGGGCCTTCCAGCCGTTGTCTGCCATGTTTTTTAGTTGTCTCAGCCCGCTGTCAGCCGCCAACCCCCACTAAACCGTCGCTACCGTCCAGCGACTGATGTGCCTGGATTCACAATTGCTCAGTGGGCACAGGCTCCCATTTTCACTGTGCATCGGCGATTGGCCCTCCCCGCAGACCCACATCTTTTGCCACCCTCTTTTTTCGGTTTTCCTTTTTGCTCCTTGGCCGTCATTCGTCCTTTCAAGTGCTGTTTTGTCCCTGCCTTGATTCACCCCTGCCGGCTGGCTCTGCCCCTGTTCTCCAAAAAATTTGCTGCTTTGCTGTGTGCGGTTTTAGCGAGATCAATCGGTGTGGGGTCGATGGGATTTTCGTAGATCCTAATGCGCTTCGGCCGTCTGTCCGTGATTTGATTTTCAGCTGGATCGCGAGCTAGCCACCAATTTTGTAGTGAATGTGCGCTCCTTTGCTCGATCGCTCGCATGATGTTTGGGACTTCTCCCTCAGATCTCATTCCCGCCATGTCCGCCTCGTGTGCCGAGTTGACCCCCCTTTTCCCATGGCTTTCCGGCATGCGTGCGTCTACACGTGCACGTACATGAGGTACCGCACCCACCTTTACCTGCCACACGTGTTAGTAATCCTTGATTTCAGGTGGTGATCTCCAATGACTCGTTGGTCCGGACAGATTGCCATTGCCATGACGCCGAGAAAATAGCGCAAATGCTATCTTCTTGCTGGGTCTGATAGCAATACCGCTCTTTGTCAATGCATTGCTCCCTGTTGCTCGTCCCAGGTTCACTTGATAGCAACACGCCTCCCACATACCAAATGTGCTTGAACCCTCAGTCGGAGGGCAGAGTGTGTCTCGGGAGCTATCGTGGGTGTTAGCACTGACGGATTAGCGTGCTTATACCTAGAAATCAGCACGTGGATGCTGTAAGTTAGTGGTGTTGCGGGCTCTTCCTAGCGTGGGAGGCTCTATAACGGGGCACACGTTTTGCAGCAGACATGTCATGAAGAGCTGGTAGCTAGATTGGGAAATCCACGTGACAGACTCTCCTCGCTTATCTTATCTTTGCCCTTGTCTTTCGGCGTCTGGCAAAACGTAGCGCCGAATGTTCGTGGTCGCATCACCATGTTGGAGAGTTGCGTTGCTTCTAATCGGCCAGCCATCGTATGGTTTCCCACAGGGCTGACGGAACCGATCGCACTCGTTCATGTGGTGCAAAACGCCTTCGCCGTTCTCACCCTCGATCTCGATAGAAAATGAACGCCCCCGACACCCTAGCCGAGCAGCAGCATCGCATCCTGCATAATGGCACGCCCGCAAGCCATGGCGAAGCGACCAACCCATACAACGTCCTGTCGATCTTCCAGCTGCACCAGGACACCATCACCCTCGTCAGTGCGTGGCGCCATCCAAGGAGTGTTTCATGCGATGTACAATGCCACGAGTTATGCGAAGCAACCCAAAACCCAGCACTCTTGCATATGCGAAAAGCTGGTTTGGTTGCTTCAAAACAGACCAGACCCTTCACGCCCATGCGCCATCACGCCGGAACCTCTCGCTTGATATACCCTCCCACATAAGGCATCGTGCTCTTATCTTCTCTAGAAGATGCTCCAGGGACGGTTGCCTTCCGGAGCTTCGACAGCCGTCTGCTACCCCGGTTCCCGTATACTGCTTCCAACGATTGAATATCCCGATCCGTTTGTCGTCGCCGCTTGAACTTGCTCGACTCTCAGGCATGATTGCGTCTTTGATTACATCTTGGCTGCGGTTGCCTCTCGAACTCGCTCAACCCTCGAGCATGCTTGTGTCTCGGGTGTGATCGCCTCCCGAACTCGCTCGACTCTTCGATGTGATTGCTTCTACAAGGGTCCACGTTGCCTGTTGCGGGACTGGGTCTTGCAAGAACGCACACACCGACATTTCGACGATGTCCGATACATGACATTCGGGAAGCTCGTGGAAGGCGGTCGATGGATGAAGAACATGTTGCGAAGGTCTCCGGCCAAATCGATGTGACTCGCAGGGCCTCCGCAGGATATTGTATGCTTGGGACGATCGACGTATCAGCCGACATGCGGGCAACTCGTTCTGAGCCAAGGCTGAATCGGACTCGTTCGGGTCGTTTTGTCTTATTGAGCGATGCCTTTCCGAACTTGAAGTTGTTGATGCGTTGATCTCAACTTGTTCAAGGCCCACACAACGGGGCTAAGGCCGCCATTCTGTCTCTTCGTGGTCTTGCTGTACCTCAATCGTCTCTCGGGCTTGTTGTATCATTCGTCGCAGCAGCATCCGTCGTTGGGAGTTCAGCTTATGTTTTGCCTCCATGTATCGACGCTGTGGTCTAGGGGCGGTCCAAGTGCACAGTACCAAGTCCAGCCAACCTTGTTGAAGATTGAAAAACAAGTCACGCAAAGATGGGACGGGGCTGGCAACAACAATGCTTCTTTCTCATGCAAAGAAATTGCATAGTTAGCCCGTCTCAAACTTATTGCCGGAGGCTGGGATGGCGGCGTGAGTTGCCAGGAGCTGCCTCTCCAATGGCGCGATTTTGTCAGTCGATAATAAAACTGCTCATGCAGTCCCTTCCAACGCCGTGTACTAGTTCGTCCTCTTGCAGGAGCCTTGATGGCACCTCTGCTTTATCCCTTTCCTGCCTCACTTTCCTTCATGAAACACCATTAGTAACGGCTTGATGATATGTTTACAGGCCGTGCCGGGAACAACGGTTAAAGATTTCGCTGGGATACTAGGTGCCGAGGGTCGGAGCTTCTCGAAGCAACCCTACCATGACGACAATGATAAGGCGGCGTAGGCGGCAATTCGTCCGGATAGAGCTGGGCGCAGACGTACAATCCACAACCATGCAGCCGAGGTTCTCGACATTCGTGATCACCGGTCGTAGATGAGGCGATCTAGACCAGCAGTTGGTTTGAAAAACCGTCTGTTCAGCTGGGCCTGTAGATGTGTGGTCGGAGGAACGGGCAAAGCAACGCACCAAAGGGGCAAAACCTGCAAGAGTATCAAGCTGGAATGCCAATCTGGGGTGATTAATGGTCATGTAGCATACGTAGACGTAGCCTCAAGGAGGGAACTCGCCCCCGGACGTCACGACAGATGGGAACACATGGCATCAGGAGATCTGGATTACTTTGCTATTGGTAATCGGTATTGACAGGAACAGATGGTGTCTCCAGGGCTTCCGAGCAAGATCACGCCAGTATCATCCATGTGCCCCCAGCTAACAGCTAACGTGGATGGGGAGTCAGACAGCCCGAGCGCCGATCCAAATATCAATTGGGACGTTCTGGCCCATCTCCTTCTTCTTTGCTGTCCAGCCGCAGCGGCCAGGGCCAGTAACGAGCCTCGTGCGCGCCCGTTGACCCCGTTCCGCCCACCGGCAGCCATCGTCGCTCTGTCGATGTCGTCCCATGGAGCGGGGAATGTGTTCTGACATGTCTGCTGGCGCAATTCTTCACATCATGGCCGCCCGTCAGACAGCGCCGGCTCCAGGGTCGACCCATGTCCGCCACCCCCGCCGATTTTCGCCGTCTGTTGGATTCATCCTCACCTGGGGCGACAGCATAACGGCCTAGGACGAACTAGCATGCTTCAGGTGACATCTGCCACACCACGGCTTGGCTCCGGCTGCCTAGGGCTTCCTTCACTGTTGACAGCATCTCCACAGGGCAGTCCGAGAGTGTGCTGTTGCGTGTGGGTCGGTCAGATCCATCCAATTGCTGCTCCTCTGGTTTCTGTATTTGATCCCGAGGGGGGACCATCCAAGTGCCGCCTGGGGACTGTTCCTGCTCAGTTGCAGCCATTCATCCCATCCTTTGACGTCCTGGAGAGGGGATGAGATGACAGCCCGCCCCTTCTGTCCAACCGTTTGTGCCTTGGTGGGGAGGCCTTGCATACATATCATACGACGTGGTTCGCGTGGACGCAACATCAGAAGATCCACCTTGTCCCAAAGCGAACACTTGAATCTGCTGCGGTGGGAATGAGGCGGCCGTGGACTTCCACCTGCATGAACCGATGAGGATAAAACCAAATCACTGACCCAGAGAAGGAAGAGAAGAGCAGCAAAGGACATAGAGGGAGAGAGCGAGCGATTGAGAGCCCGCGATACCTGCGGTGACCCAAATACCCGCGCCTCCCAAGGGCATTTTCGCCCTGCCTACATTCACAATGGCCGAGGAGAACCAGACCTTGCCGCAAGTCAATGGCCACACTGTCTTGGACGTCTGCGTCGTCGGGGCGGGTCCAGCCGGGCTGATGCTTGCGTGAGTAACCTTGTTTTTTCCTTTCTTTTTCTTCTCCTGTGTCTGGTTCCCTCTCTGTGTATGTTCATTTTGCCGCGGTAGCATTACACTACATGTGCATCGTGCACACGTGGGGGGGAGGGGGAGGGGTTGGGTTTCCTTTGCATCTCACCGTTTTTTGATATATTTTTATCTTTTTTTTCTGTGCTGAGCGGAACCCTAAGAATTTTGTCGATAGGGATAATCTCGCTCGCTTCGGTATTAGCAAGACGGCCGTGGTGGATGAGCGAGCGACCGAGACCACCGCCGGCCGCGCGGACGGCCTGCAGCCCAAGACTATTGAGACACTGCGGATGCTGCGGCTTGCAGATGACTTGCTCCGCATTGGCACCAAGGTCTACGACATCACCATCTGGGGTTACGGCTATGACAATGCCCTCAGCCGGCTGGGACGGGAGCTGCACTACCCTGAGGCCAGCGTCGATGTGTTGGACCCGTACATCCTCCTGTGCCACCAGGGGATGATCGAGGGCACTTTTATCAGGGCTATGAGAGATAGAGGCCTTGAGGTTGATAGAAATACGTACTTTGAGACGTACCAGCCTTCCCAGGATGGGAAGACCTTGGACATTAAGCTGAGACGACAGAACGAGGAGCAGTTGATTCATTCTAGATACCTGGTTGGATGTAAGTCGCACACGGCCTCCTTCTTTCCACTCCATGGCCTCTCTCTCCTCTCCCCACATTTAGTATCTTCATTTGGCTAATCTCTCGGTTGTAACAGGTGATGGTGCGCATTCTAATGTGCGAAAGGCCATGCCTGGCTGTATTCCAGAGGGTAGCTCCTCTGTGTCAGTCTGGGGCGTCTTGGACGGTTGGGTTAAGACGGAATTCCCCGACATCTGGTCCAAGACGATTGTGGTGCATCCTGTACACGGAGCCGTGCTCATCGTCCCTCGGGAACGAGGCATGACACGCTTCTACATTGAACTGAAGGCCGACACGGCCCTTTCGGCACCTCTGCCCGCCAACACCAGCCAGGAAGCCATCATGGAGCGGGCCCAGCTGATTCTGGCCCCGTACAACCTCGAATGGATGAACATCGAGTGGTTTGGACACTACCAAATCGGCCAGCGGGTGGCTAGCAAATTCATGGATGAGACACACCGCGTCTTCATTGCCGGCGATGCGAGCCATACGCACTCGCCCAAGGCGGCGCAGGGCATGAACACGAGCCTGCACGACTCGTGGAATCTGGCGTGGAAGCTCAACCTGGAACTGCGGGGACTGGCGAAACCTGTCTTGCTCGACACATACCAGGAGGAGCGGAGAAAGATTGCACAGGACCTGATCGACTTTGACTACGAACATGCCAACCAGATCGCGGCGGGCGACAGCGAAGCCCTGGCGGAGAACTTCCGCACAAACATTGGCTTCATGTCGGGAATCGGCGTCAAGTATGGTGACAATGTCCTGAACCACGGATCCAACATGGCTGTGTTCTCGGGCGTCATCAGGCCCGGCTCCATCCTCCCGCCGGCCAGAGCGATCCGGTACGTCGACCACAACCCTGTCCACGTGCAGCTGGACATCCCGAAGCTGGGCCAGTTCAAGATTTACTTTCTGGTGGGCAACGTGGCCGGTCCCGCTGTGCGGTTCTTTTTGGGAGAGCTGAGCGACTACATCGCCTCAGAGACGTCATTGCTAGCTCGTGTATCCAACCTGGCAAGGGAGTCGTACATTGAGAAACCGAGGCTTCAGGCGCCAGAGGATTTATACTACAGTCACGAGCGGTACCTTACCGTGAGTGATGTATTCACGGTCGCACTAATCAGTGAGTTCTCCCTCGGCAATGACGAATGGATCAGTGATGAATCATTATGGCTAACACCTGAGACAGCTGCTACCGCGAAACAGGATTTTGAAATCGTCGACCTCCCTCAGCTCTTCTCGGCCAGCCCTTGGACCGTGTACCTAGACGACTCGGCATCGATGGACAGCCAGGCGACAAGCTGTATGGCGAAGTGGCTGGGAGACCTGGCGCCGGGCGAGGTGGCCATCATCAACGTTAGACCAGATGACTATGTCGGGTCGGTATCGCGGTGGAATGCCATTGAGGGCGAGGCAGAGAAGGCCGCGGAATGGCTTCTGTCGTACTATGATGGATTCCTGCAAGCTTAATATGTAATACAGCGGGCGTTTTCCCAATCAGACACCAAGCGAGCAAGCACAAGCCTTTTAATGACAATGCATATACGTTTATTTCATTCCGTGCTGACTAGCTGACCTCATACTGAGACAAGGCCCAGCTGGTTCAACCCCAATTCACTGATGTAGCACGCTGGTCCTCGGCCGGCATGTTCGACATTCACTTACCGTGTACTCTCTTCTTATCTTGCATGTGTTTACCGGGCCCTGGGCAAGGGTCACAGCCAATGCCGAGGAGCGGAGAGGAGGTTGGATGGGGAACAATTTGTCAGCATTTATCACCGGCAGATGGAAAATCATCGAAATTGTGCGGCTGGCGATTACGACGTGGCCCTCGTAGATTGCGTGCTTTTTGCCTTTCCATCATCTAGAGTTTATTATTTGCGGCTTAAAAAAGTATTGTGCTCGCTGCGGTTTGCGTAAGGTTTTTGCTTGAGTTTGAGCTACTGGTTTTGCAGCCAGAGCCGAGAAAGATCACCAACTGCCGACATGGGGGTTGGGGAAAAGACGGCTGCCGTGGGAGAGACGGAACAGCCCGTGTTAGTGCCGGAGCCTCAGCAGAGGCTTACGCAGGATGAGAAGGGAGAGGGCGAGACCAAGAAGGTCTCTGTGGCTGATGATGTCCGCGTCGCCTCCGACTCGGACGAGCCCGACCCTGAGGAGAGAAAGGCGATGGAACGGCGTCTCCGGTTCAAGATCGACCTGAGACTGTGCACCATTGCTGGCTTGCTCTGCAGTTTGAACCTGCTGGACTCGGGCGTCATCAGCTCGGCGTCGGTGACGTCCATGGTGACGGACCTGGGCCTCTTTGGCAACCGGTACAGCGTCAGCATCTTCATCTTCACCATTGCCAGCATCGTCTTCCAGCTGCCGTCGACGCTCGCCGTGCGCCGGTTCGGCCCTCGGGCGTGGTTCGCGTCGAGCACGTTCGCCTTTGGCCTCATCACCATGTGCACCGCCTTCATCCGCAACTGGCAGTCCATGATCGCCCTCAGGGTCCTGCTTGGCGTGGCCATGAGCGGCATCTACCCAGGCCTGACGTACCTCATCTCCACGTGGTATCCCCGGCGCGAACAGCAGACCCGTTTCGCCCTCCTCCAGAGCGGGCAGGTTATCGTGCTCGCCACGGGGAACATTGTCAACTTTGGGCTGAATCAGCTGGATGGGAGAGGCGGCATTGCAGGCTGGCGGTACATGTTCCTCGTCCAGGGCCTGATCACCATGGTCATCGGGTTCGTCACGTTTGTCTGGATCGTCGATTTCCCCGAGGAGGCGCATAATTCCTTCTGGTTCCTGACTAAGGAGGAGCAGGAGCTTGCGGTGGCTAGGATCAATGAGGACCGCAGCGATGTCGAGCCCGAGCCGTTCAGCTGGGGGGCCGTCCTGTCTAATCTGAAGGACATTAAGATCTACGGGTTCGCCAGCTTGTTCTTCCTGCTCAACTTGGTGTCCACCTCCATGGCCTACTTCCTGCCCATCATCCTGCAAAGCGGGATGGGTTTCAGCGAGAACCAGTCCATCCTGCTGTCCGCGCCGCCGTACTATTACGCCGTCATCCCCGTGCTCTTCTCCTCGCTCGTGGGGGACAGGCTCTGGCTCCGGGGCCCCGTCATCATCTTCAACTGCGTCTGCCTGATCGTCGGATTCTGCATGCTCGGGTTCGTCGACCAGGTCGTGGTCCGGTACATAGGGACGTACCTGGCCACGGGCGCCTACATCAGCAACTGGGCGGCCCTGAGCACGTACCAGGCCAACAACGTGGCTGGGCAGTGGAAGCGTGCTGTCACTGCCGCGGCCGTGACGGCGTTCAATGGGGCGGGAGGCATTGCGGGGAGTTATATCGTGAGGCAGACAGAGGCGCCTCGGTACATGACGGCTGTTTGGATTTCGATTGGCTCCCATATTATGATCATTTGTGTGGTTTTGCTGATGTCTGTTTACTTTTTGTGGGCTAATCGACGAGCAGACCTTGGGAAGTTGGTCATTGAGGGTGTTGAAGGGTTTAGATATACTCTCTAGACATGCTCGAGTAGCTGCATCGATTGATCAAATTTATTCAAGTGTGCCGGCCAACTTTCTGGTTAAATATTTCATTGCAAATGCTTAACTATGACGTGAATCTAGACTAGCATTCCGTGCATGAGAAGCGTTGGGGATCGGATGGCGAAAATGGCTCGGCTTTTATGCTGGCAGGCAACAAATATCTCGATCATACCTGGTCATGTCGCCCACCGCGTTGTGCTACTTATCCGACAAGCTACTCAAAATGGTACTCAAATATCTTATCCATTCCATCGGCAGTCTCTGGTATCTTCTCTGAAAACGGTGCTTCATCTTCAGGCTTCTCGGTCAAATCTGGTACAGGGACGGTTCGCTTGTCATCCACCCGCACCATCCAGTCGTTTCTGAAGAAGTCGAGACTAAGTTGATAGCCTTCTTCACATTTGTGAAACGTGATTGGAGGCAATAGAAGGTCAGGCGCTGGAATTTCACTCCCAACCACGACGAATTCTGGAGGCATCGGCTCATCCCCCCAGCAAGCTGCGAAGTTAATAGGCGGAAGAGGTGACTGCTGGCTGTCCCTCAAGATGAAGATTTTGTCTCCGAAAATCTTGATATTGGCGTGATTGATTGTTACTTCATTGCCAAGAAGAAGTAAAGGCGCACTGAGAAGTTGTTGTCGCGAATAGCTTCGGCATAGTTCGTAGCATTCCATGACCTCAACACTCTTCGATGGGTTGAACATGGGAAACGAATGCATCGGGCAGCATCCATGTCCGTCTTCTTCAAACTCTGGCAGTTCATCTTCTTCTCCATCCCATTCACCTAAACGACCTGTAAAAGGCTTGCTCGGGCCGTTTAGTAGGGAATCGATAGTACCCTCCGCCAATCTCTTGAAGCCTTTCACACTTGTGCGCCTATGAGAAGAGAGGAACGTCCAAATCTCATCATTAGAGATCTTCCCTTCTATTTTCTTCGAAGCACAACGGGAGCGGAAGGGGCGGCTTCCGACTTTGCAGTTGAGGTAATCTAGCGTTGTTACGACAGCGCAATCCCTTAGATCCGTACCAGTATTTTTGTCGAACCAATAGCTGTAACCGTTGGTCACAAAGTTCATGCCCTGGAACTGTTTCCATAGGTACACAGATCGATGCGCATCCGTCTTCCCGAGGCCCCAATGCAAGGCATTAGCTCTTTCGAAGCATTTGTGGGCATGTAGTGATAGAGACCGATCCTGATCGAATACACTTTGACTTGTCATATAGCATGCCTCGCTGAAGATGCGACCGATTGTGGGATCATGCTGGAGATCAGTGTCCTTGAATATTAATTCGGTACGGAGGAAGATTTTAGATCCGTCCAGAAAAGGTCGGCCCTCGTGCTCATAGCTTTGATTGAAAATGACACAGGACATTTCCTCTACTTCGTTGAAAGAAACATCATTGACGCGCAGGACTGGGTTGTTGTGCCCTCCAGTTATGTAAATGAGAAGCGTGTATTTTGAGACATGGGAGCGAGCAGAGTCGTAGTATGGCGTGTCCAAATGGCTTTCGAAGTTGCTGTCTCCAGTAGCAAACCTGTTGTACCTGAAGACATAATTGACGAACTCGAAAGATGAGCCTAGGCTCCCATTTTCTATCTGATTGAGCATTCCGCTGGACCGGACTGCGTTTGTCAAGGCCTTGCTCAAGATGGATGAATGAAAAATGAAGCGATCACCTCCTCGGGTTTCCTTGTTCAGAGGCGGAACGTAGAGATCCAGAGACGACAGACAATTGAGTAGAGCGCCAGTAGTTTCATCTTGAAGCTTGCATGTGTAAATTTCATGCTCTGGGGAGGGCTGTGTAGACTCGCTGAGTGATGTTTCTAGACCATCCTGCCCATGGTCTGCCATGCTCGTCTCGAACCAAGAGTCCAAATGGACGATGTTCTCGAAGTTGTGATACGAAAGATCTGATGCCTTGACAAACACGGCAAAAAGCCTGGGTGTGCTTAGGCATTGTATAAATGGCTGGACATTCCTGTCCTGAACTTTGCCGTCCAAATCTTCAACGAACTTGACACATGTGAATTCTGCCGAAGGATGAAATGATAGCGTAATTCCATTCGTGTATATCGGATCCAAGGGCACTTTGATAATTCCTACTATATCTTTCAGGAGCTTTCTTTCATGCTCGCCTAAAAGGCCATGATAATCGGCAATGAACAGATCGCGTACTCCAGTTGCGAGGATCAGTTTCTGTTTGGATCTTAGAGCCTCTATATTCATCGTACCCAAGGTAGGGTTTGATACAAGATCTTGGAAAAAGGCGAGAGATCGGAGACGAACTGACTCTGGTGTGTTGGAGTCCATATTCTGTCCATCAAAGATAAGGGGGTAGAGCTCTGCAGTCGGCTCTAGACCGCGCAGATATAGCTGCATCAAAGCGGTGTTCTTACGCTTCTCAGTAGAGAGAAAGCACTTGATTCTGGATTCATCGATTGAAAAGGTTCCATCTTGATGAATGATGCACCATCTGGCACACAGACCTCCTTGCTGCACAGTTCCATCAAGCGCGACATCTTGATCATTGTCATTCTGAGTTGTTGGACCTGAAACCCTTTCTGTGGAATTATTAGTCGTAGAGCATGCAAGAAGAAGCAGATATTTGAATGGTACTTGCTGCTGAGGGATTCTGGTTTTGGTGTGTCGAGACTTCGCTTCATCGCGAACCCAGACTGCGCCTTGGTAAGAGTGGTAATTAACAGTTCAACTAGCCGACCTTCTAATCTAGAATGAAGGGCAGCCAAGCATTATATACCTGCTCTCGTTTGGCACTAAGACGCTGGTGGATCACAATACGACCGAAACGAGGCAGAACAAGAAATTGGTTGGATGAGAGGACGGGAAAGAAGTCGAAGCATCTTAAATATGACAGCCTTTTACGATTGGAATTCTGGGACTCTGTCAATGTTAAACATTTCTTGGCGAAGTCGTCTCTTTTTAGGGGCTACCCCTCTTCGACAGTCGCTTTCACTGATGCCTTCGTATCAATCCTGACAGGGGTCTGTGAATGATGACACACTCGAGTTAGGCGCAGGTCTTGCCCTCCTGCTGCCTAGAAATGACTGATGGAGCGACATCTCAATTGGGTTGTGATTCGTGATGGGCACCGGCACTCTTGAGACCACATTCAACATATCTGCATGCCTTCATTGGGGTTAGAATTGCGTGAGGTCTTGTAGACTTATTACTGCCACTGCGGAGATCGTATATGATTTATCAACATGTGTGATCTGATCTACTGTTACAATCAATTGGGGCGACCTCGCTAACTATCAGATGTATGAGGGCCGGTCACTCTGACTACTTCGCCTTCTCTGTAAATGACAGCCTTGGAGAATTTTCTCGCCGTAATATTCTTCTCTGCAAATAGAATATCCAACTCTTCAAAAGTCCGATTGCCGGTCTCGGGGAGGCGGAAATACGCCCATATCAGCGAGACGACGGTCAGACCGGAGGTGAGGAGCCCTGATTTGCCTCGCCAGTTTGCGTTCTGGGGATTCAAGATGTATGGCGAGACAACGCTGTTTATTATGTTCAGGATCAGGTATGTCCCTCTAGCCAGTGCGATAGTTTTGGATCGTAGCCTTGTGGATGATACCTCGGCGTTGATAACGTACGGCAATGGTCCCATGGTTAGACACCAAACAGCAAACCAGACCAGATAAACGGCCGACGTGGCGTACCCAAAGGCTGAGTTTAGAGGACCGAAGGCTAAGAAACCAACAACCATGATGATAAGAGCCAAAGCCAAGTTCCCCCAGAGGTAGAGAGGCCGACGACCATAGTTTCCAGTGAGGGCAGCGGATGCGAGATTGCACAACAAGTGGATTCCTCCCATACCCAGAGTCATCTTGAATGAGTCGGATGGGCTCAAGCCTGCTTGCTGAAAGAAATAGGCCGCATAGCTCTGGACGACGAACCCAGTGAAGATCTGGCTGCCCCAAGTAAAACATGCGATCTCTGTTCTCCACAGATCATGGCCCTTGAAACAAGCCAGAAACGACGTATCCTTAGTTGTTTCCTTCTCCAACTTGTCTGTCTCAATCATCAAAGCGACAGCCTTCTTGGCGTTTTCGACCGCAATTTCTTTGCTCTTGGCTGAGCTGAGTCGGATAACAGATTGCTTAGCCATCTCGTAGCGGCCTTTTCGTACGAGCCACCATGGCGATTCTGGACAGAATATAGCTAACAGGAGTATGATGATGGGCCAGAGCCACTGAATTGCAAACGGGATGCGATACGCCCACTGGCTGTCCCAATCGTTGAGGCTGAACAGCACCGCGTAAGAAAAGAATTGACCGATGCCCCAGCAACAAACGACCCACGTCTCCAAGTAGCTTCTCAGGATCAAGGGCGCGATTTCTGAAGAAAATGCTGGGGCCAAGGTCGTGAACATGCCCCACGGAATCCCGCACAACAGCTGCCCGACGAATAAAACCTGTACGTTCTGGGCAAAGAATTGGATGAATATGAGCCCAATGAGGGCAATCAAGCCACCATGCAGGACCGGCTTGTGCCCGAATTTGTCGGTGAGATGGCCGTTGAGTATGATCCCGACCACGTTACCAACAGGTGTAGCCATTCCTAGAGCCATTTGCCACTGTGCGGTCAACGTATACTTGTTGCTGTCGGGAACTTGGTGACCATATTTGCGCTGGAATGCCGGGAATCCAAATAGGCTGCCCATCAAGGCAGTGTCATAGCCATCCATGATGATAGCCAGACTTACAACCAGTGACCAAGCAACTGCTTTGGGATACAGCTTGACTGCTTGAAGAAATGTTGTATTGTGTTCATTTTCCGTAGCGAGATTGGCATCTTCACGAAGCTTAGACCAGTCTCGTTGACGGTGATCATTGGCAGTTGGAGAATCGTGGTGTTCGTGGTGTTCGTGGTGAGCAACTTCACCCGAGCTGTTGTCATTGGCAACATATGGAGTCTTGATGCTGCGTTTTGTCGTCATACTGCTCTCGATGAAGCTAAAGCACAATTTGAGGGTATATCAACGAACCCTCGTCTGAAATGGCGCCAGATGAGCTACTTATACATAAACCTTTGCTCACCATATCTCGTATCATGCAAACTGTCACGTCCCACGAATGGCCTGGAGCCAACAGGCGGCAGCTCGGCAATTTCCAAACCTGGTAGCCCTGGCTGATTTCCCCCAGGATTTCGAACAAGGTGGTTGCGCTTCCCCATGGGGTAGATCAGGCTTAATGGGTAGTGGCATTATGATGATCTTTGAGGCCTCCATTGTTTGCCATTCTACGTACCTACTAACATTGATTGAAATCTAGTCTATTCAATTCGGGCCGAACGCCTTTAGGATCACCAATTTTATCAGTGATTGATGCATGATTACACCATTACTTCTCCAATATGTGTCTCGTATTGACCTCACGTACTTGATGCTACATGGCTCTAATGCTTGCTCTAGCGAGTGATTGCTTGCCTTACCAAAATTGTGATGGATGCCACCCCTTTTCTCGCAGCTATCCAGTTAAATAGTGTAGAGCATCCCGGAAAATGCGGGGGTTCCAACTGCTCACCCAACGATGACTTGGATGGGCAAGATTGATGCGAGAGGCGGAGACTAGCCCAATCTGGGGCGGAAACATACCCTGCTGTCACTGACTTGTGAGAGGATGCGATCATCGGGAATATCGGCACACCCGACCCCTTACTCTTGCATCCGCCCTACTCTTGGACTCATTCCGTCTGCAACTCTGATGATCCCCAACATTCGATATACAAACAAATTCGTGCCGTCGGCTTCCTAGTGGACCACGGACGACTCCGAAATGAGGGCGGCAGCGAAGCAGATCGTCTGGCAATCGGCTGCCACTCCATCAAGGAAGCGAACACTCCAAGATAAGTGAACAGTGCGGGTGTCCAATAGCAAAGGGGATGGCCCAAAGGGGCAAAAGAGAGCAGAAAGTACTGACATTTGGCTCTGGAGATTTACCCTGCGAAAGCTGCCGTGCGAGGAAAAAGAGATGCTTTCATACTGAGGGAGCTGAAAGACCAAGTCGGCCGGACAGGCTCAGCAGAGTTGTGACTTTAGGGTTGGAGTCAAACTCGGAGATAAATACACGGGAATCAAGTCTGAGTCCAGGCCACGAAAGGCCATACAATCCCGAATCTGTACTGTCGTACCTGACCAAGGATCCCCCTCGGTCCAGTGGGAGTGATCTCGCAAGACAAGACCCGGGATTCATTGAATCGGCAGCCACAGTTTCGAAAGAGATGGAATCCCCCGAGGAAAAGTTGAAACGTCAGACTATTTGGTACAGAAGGTACAAATCCAGACTTGGCACACCGAGATTATCGGAGCACCAGAGAGCCTATCTGGAAGAGGTTGGCGCGCTTCTTGTTCTGCCAAAGACAACAACAGATGCGCTCTTGCCTTTATACATATCCCTACTAGATGACCTGATTCCAGTAGTTGATGGGTCTCGCGTCTTCCGTGATCTCAGTAATGGAGAGGCTTCCACATATCTGGTACGGGCAATGTGCCTCGTGATCTGCAAAACAAAGCAGGCAACCCCGTTTCTAAGACTTACAGAGAACGGGCCTCTTCTTGAGCACCGGAAGTTTGCATCGAAACTTCTAATTGGCCTTGATGCGGCCCTGAAAGCGGACCTTGAGCCAGATCGGGTCATCAAGACTCAGATACTGGCGTTGATGCACTTGCACAATGATGGTTTCGCGGGTGGAAACCGCTCCTCGAGTTATTTATCCCAAGCAATTTGTGAAGCATGGTCAATGTCCCTCCACTTTAATATTGCTGGAAACACAGACCAGGAACAATGCAATTTCCTCTGGTGGTCGCTACGGAACCTCGATCGGCTGAACAAACCTATCATGGGAGCAGGTCCTTTTATTATTGACGATACAGACATTTCGATTGATCGTATCACGGCCAAGGCCAACAGCTATAGGTCTCAGATAATGGAAGTCTCCACCATGCTTGGGGATCTCATGACCACTGCAACTAAAGTATACAAGGCCAGCTCAAAATCGACTGTTGACGATAGCGGCGTCTTCCCATCACTTGACGACATCACGTCGAATACCAATTTCTCCCAGTTTCATCAATCTCATCGAGGTAAGGCTGGATCTTTTAGAATCATTTACACTGAACGCTGATGACTAAGGGGTTCAGTCTATCTCGAACTGTGGTATCACATCACCGCAATGTTGTCATGTCGATACAGTGGACCAGGGGCTGCACAATACGATCGACGACTTGCATCAGCGGATCGTATCCTCCGTATATTTTCACAAGGGGGACATGAAAACTTCCCACCCCTCCCTTTAGTTCCATACGCGCTCTCCATGTCTACAACTGTGATATATAGAGCTTTGCGTGACGGACAACGTGACCCGGCCGCGGCCTACGAAGATCTCCGTTCATGTTGCGACACGCTGGATGCGTTAGGACAACGATGGACGAGCGCGAAGGGAGTGGCTAAAATAGCCAAGCGTTTATGCACGATCAATGAAAGGGATTCAAATAATCCTCAGCTACGGGAGACAACCCAGGGGCTCCCGAACGATCCCTACGCTGACAGCCAAGTTGTGTCACTAAACACTATCCGGACGGTTGTCGAAGAAAATGGCCCCGTGAATATGGAACCAAGCCTCACTTCTTCCCTCACTGGGAGCGAAACGATTCCGGAAGGGCAATTGTCTAGTCGAGATCACCTTTGGCAAGGACAGTCATTTGGGCCGTGGCCAAGCACCATGGACGACCCATCATGCGTCCCTCTTGATAGAGCCTTCTACGACCTTTTTGACTACAGCATTCCTGATGTGTTTAGAGGGCCGGCAACATGTGAATTCCTGCAGCTTGTCCACAATGAAGACGATGGCCTGGATTGTGGTATACAGTCTACCTCTCCTCTTGCCTCTTTCAGTGGCTGCAACAATCTAGCTACTGACATGCCCATTTGATTTGGAATTGAATGCAACAACAGCTTCCATAGGTTAACAAGAGAAAACTCATTATTAGCGTGGGGAAAAGGGACTAGGGGCTACGGTGTGGAAGATGCTAGCATGGGGCGTTGCTCCCTTTTATTATCATATCAGAGAGAGCTTATATATCAATTCGAGTGCAATCCGTGATATCCTTGCCGCACTAGAATACGTGTTTAATGAAATATGAGAACGCCCGTCGTTCCTCTACTCATTGCCTCCACATCAACTGAGCTGGCATGAGTTTCGCTGCCGCATGATGGGAGAGTGGAGGTAACTGTTAACCCCGAATAGAGAAGTGCTCCATCCTGAACCAAGTTTAGAATTAGACAATTAAGGTTAGTATCAAGGTGAGGGACTTATTCAATCATCTCCGGCACTAATAGGGACAATAGTGTCTGGCAGGGTGGTCACTGGTAGCGACCCCCGGATCTGGTTCTGGGCTTGGCAGTCATACGTGCAGACTGTTGCAGGGGGCGCATCCTCAAGTGCGTCTTCGCCAAAGACCGCACCCATACGGCCCCCGCTCCAGACATTCCACTGGCTAGTTGTACCATCCTGATACAGTCTATTGGCCCCCTGTGGGCTATCTTTGGCAACGAGAACGGTGTGTGTAGAATCCGCGGGCTGTATCAAAGGTTGTCAGCTGGTTATTTTCTCACTCCAGGTTGTTCATGCAGAGGGCCGAGGGTGCTTACCACGCCATTACCGATTCGGACGGCATTATTGAGATTAGGGTCAAGGAAGTAGAACATGTCTCGAGCCAATGTGATGGTGTGGGTGACATTGGTCGAATACTCCGTTTCAACTTGCAGGAGGCCGCCCTGCGGGTTGTCTTTGGCTTGGTATTTGACCTTACCGCCGCCACTGGCAAATGTAATGACGATGCCGCCATCCCTAGACTCAATTTCACTGATTGAAGGAGTACCAATCTGAGTTGAAGTGAGACCCATTGTTTTTGAGGCGATAACAGTGGTAGGCTTATTGACCATTCCTGCATTTCGAGTATTAGTTTGCAGAGGCTTGAAGAATCATAAGAGGGAACTGACGGCCAGCAACGTTGGCGCCAGTGAAGGCGTAGTTGAACAGATTCATTGTTTGACAATCAATATCAAACCCATTGTTGATGCCTCGGATTGTGAGAGTGCCTATGCAAGCCAGATCACGAATCCTGTACTTGTCATCTGAATACACTTTGCCATTGAGTGTGGTGGTGAAGCGGCCATTGCCCTTGTCAGAGCCTTTGGCAGAAACGAGGCTGCAAAAAGCCAAGTAGATGAAGGTTGAAGTGTGCATTGTATCTGATGATCGTGAGTCAATTGGAAGAATGCCGTGAGCTTATTTGACCTAGTAGAAAAATGGGTTGAATGATGGTTTATATACAACATTAAACCTATTCACTTTCAGCCCAGTTTCTCCCGGCGGCCGCCTGCTCGGACTTGAAGCTGACTGCTTTGGGGCTAGTAGTCTTTCTAGAGCCTCGACCTGATGCCGCAGATTGGTAATGCTGACAGAGGCGGCAGAGCACCCACATGCTTAGAACATTGGCCCTGGCGCTTGACCTCTGTCAATATTGAATTTACTCTAGCCACTCTGACATATGTCGCCGAGGTGGGACGATGCAATCCTAGGATCTTGATACCGGGATGAAATGGGCCGTCCATGACTTGCCCAGACCACAACTGAATCAATAATCACATTTGGAAAGGATGAGTTAGATTACATTCCAGCCAATACTAAGGGAGTTGTTCTATGCAAGGCGCCGTTAGAAGCAACTAACCCCCACGATTTGCTCTTTATATAGCACACTTAGAAATCAAATGTGTTGTCTAGACTTTTTAATCTCCGCCGAATCCTCTTTTATCCGCATATAAGTATGATAGCTCTTTTCCCTTCGTCTGTAATACAGCTGATATATTCGACGCGCTCTTCGGATTCTGACATGCCAGTATACTCACTACGAAGACTCAGGGAGTCCGTAGGATCATGCCGAGCTATTGCTAGACTCTTGAAGCTTTGAACAGGAAGAATCCTTGCCGTAGGAGTTCTAGCGAATGTCAGTTCCCCGATAGCGGCGATTATGCACTAATGTTTTAATTACAGATGCCTCAACCAATTCAGGAAGGTCAGCGGCCGCCTTATTTGAATCGAAGTTGCCAAGCCGGGTTTCGGCAAGGCCACACAATTCTTTCGTTGGTAGGTTTGACTGTCCATTCGATGGGGAATGAAGGTTTAATCTTGATTTTGCCTTTTGTGTTCTTTATGTTGAGATGTCGATCCTGGCCTCTTCCATTACTGTTCATTGCTCTATACTAATATCCTCTTACGGTATTTATTATCAGAGATTACTCCCTTGCTTAGCTCGCTATCAATTGTCTTAGGTTTTATTTGAACCCATACTAAACTCTCCAGACTTGCGGGCGGGTTCTTAGGTTCTCGATCGTACGCGCACTTAGCTGAGAAGAAAAAGCTCCTGATAAGTGCTCATAACGCAAATTTAAATCAATTTAGCATATATAAAAGCTTTCAAAACAGATAAATATCTTCTCCCAGCTTACGCGCTTAGTAACAATTAGGGTTCTTATTATTTAGAAATGCTATAATAATAACCTATTGAGTGCTGGTGGGATCTTCCAACCAATAATACTATAACCAAAGACCGGGTGGATCCGCAATTATGATATCGGCGTTAGTCAGAGTGTGATGGTTAGGTAACTTATACTGGTCCTGGTCTAGGGTAAGTTAGAATTAAACTAATCAGAGTATTATTCTAAGTAGTATAATCAGGTTATTATAAACTATATAATATAAGTTACTATTAATATATAAGTATTATAGAACTAGTAATAATAGAGATATAAATAATATTATTAAAAGATTATAATTTTATTAATAATTATCTAAAAGAGTATTCTAACTAATAAAATAAATATATATATATATTAAAAAGTTTATTTAAATTTTACTATAGCTTTATTATAACTTTATTTTAACTAAATAAAATTAGTTTCTATTAGATACTAAGATAGATATATTTATCTATCTTATATATAACTTCCTATAGCCTAATAGAGATCTTTATTTATAATATAATACTCTCTTCCTATTAGTTTTATCTCTAAGGTTAGATTACTATTTAATACTAACTTAGTATATACTTAGTTTTATATTTATTCTATTATATTATAAATTAATAAAATATCTAGCTATATTTTAAAATAAAAAAAATCTAAATTAGTATATAATTATACTTAAAAATCAGATTTTATTAAGTTCTAGGGCTTTAAGATATTACTCTATATATATTATATTAACTACTTATA